GCGGTGGGCTCGCCGCCTCCCCCAGGCGCTCTGGTCTCCGGGGAGAGCGGAGAGCCCCGGCTGGGCTCGCCGCCCTGCTCCCGGTGCTCTTGCCACCGGGGAGAGTGGAGAGCCCCGGCCGAGCTCGCCGCCCTTCCCCCGGCGCTCCGGCCAGTCGGGGATTGCGGGCCCGCGGCCGGGCTCGGCACCCTCCCCTGCCGCGCTGGGCAGGCAAAAAAGCCAGAGCCGGCCCTAGGTGCTCAGGAACCTTAGAGCTTTAACCATCACTGTTTGTAGCTTGGTTAAATGGGTTCCACTTCTAGGCCCCTGAAATGCTGAGCGTCTGCATTTGTCTCTTGTCCCCCTCACTAGCAACCCCCCCCCCCATTGTGCTGTACTTTCCACTGCAACAAAAGGAGAAGGGGCTGGAGGCAGGCAGTGCACAAGCCCTCACAGACTGACAGTGCCTGCCACAAGGAGCCTATTGTAAGTGGACCCGGCATCCAACAAACCTGTCAGTGTTCGTGCTGTGTGCAGGAGCCAGCGTTACTCAGCTAGTGTTTCCCTCACTGACTATATCGCTGCCACTGTCCAAACTGCGCTTCTGTTTCCACATCCCAAATGGGTGTTGCCTGGAGCTCTGGGCGCTATTTTATCCTTATGGTGCTGGTGATGTCAGGTGCAATTTAGACTGATCCTATAAAGAGAGGCCTCTGAGGCCAAGGCTGAGGGACTGTTTTACACCTGATGTCACAACCTGGAGACTGACACCACTGAGACCACCGCGACTACACCCTATCTTCACTGCTACCTTGTTACCTTGCCCTCTTCTGACCTCTACTCCTTCTCTCTTGTCTGCTCATTCTTCTGCTGAATATTGTCTAATGCTAGAGCGTGAGCTGTCAAGGCCCGGGACTGTCTTACTGTTTGCTTGTATAGCACCTAGCGCAATGAGGCCCTGCTCCCTGTGTGAGGTCCTTAGGTTCTACTCCAATAGTAGTTTAATAATCATCATAATAAAATGGCTTTAAGAAACTTACATGAAACTTCCCTGGCTGTGGCTTTCATTACCACCCTGAAACCTGGGTCCCTCCCACACAGCTGAGCCAAACATCAGAGGAGGCTGGGCCACAAAGTATTTGTTAAAAGGGCACGTATCACTGCTAGCTAATCTTTCCTGGCTGATTTTCAACTGAGACTGCATGAAGCACTGACTTGGGAGACCAGCCCTAAGTTCCATTTGAGACTCCTGCTATTCCTGAGAGCAAGTCAGCGGTAGAGAACCCAGTCCACAAACCTAACCGTGCGGTGATTCATCATTCTTCCATTCCGGGGTGACTCATTCTATTCTTGGCCAGCAGAAGGATTCACCATTACACAGTGCAGAGAAGGGCATCAGGGAGCAGTACTGAAGCGGAGAAAAACATTGTTTGAGAAACATCTCCGTTCACACTTTCGTTAGCAGAACTAGATACCAAAGTATTACTGCCACGCAGACCTGGGCTCTGGTTCAGCTTTCACCTTCTCCAAAGCACAAGAGTTCTCAGACACAGGATTCAGCCTGTTTCAGAGATAGGGGCTATCTGCACATTTTGGATTGGGTTTCAGATTCCAAACCTTCAGAGTTGAAGGGTTCTGATAGGTCCTTGGTCAGGCCCATCTCCTGTGCCAAGTGTTTGGAATGATGCACCTTAATATCTTCACTCTACAGCTACTGCTGCAAAACTACAGAACTTACTAGCCCAGTCCCCTAGAAGCAACTTCTGCCCTCGTTCTGCATTAGGGTTGCCGATTTTGGTTGGCTGTGTTCCTGGAGGCTTCATAACATGACAATCTTTCATTAAAGATTAATCTTTAATTCCTGGAGACACCAGGAAATCATGGGAGGGCTGGCAACCTATTCTGCACTGCTCTGCAATAGCTTGGGACAAGCAACAAACCAGGCAGCTTGGAAAGGAAAAGAGAGGCTTGGGAGTGAAGCTATACAAAGGAGAGTTAGAGCTTGAGCCAAGTATAAGAAAGGCATATGTAGATATCTGTGAGTGATCAGACTGGGACACACCGATGGTCTAGCATCTTTTGCTACATCGGGCACTAGTTTTTTTGTTTTTTTTTTGCCTTCCCATTGAAGGCTAATCTCCCCTCACCCATTTCCTGGTATTGCACAGTTGACCAGGTGCATAAGAGGGGGTGCGGGGGTGGGGATTTTCTCCTTGACAGCTGATAATTGGTTTTGGGCCAGGAAGTGTGAGAGTAAGGCAGAGATTAATTCCTGGATAACAGGCATCTGGGAAAGGATCAGCACGGATCGTGGAGAGAGACAGCTGAGCTGGCTTGGATAAAAATAAGACCTGATGAAAATCACTGCCCAGCAGCCTGGACTAACCCTTATTAGGAAGTGTGGCGGATGGGTATAAAACTTTTGAATTGCTGATCTCACTACCCCTGAAAGAGTCTGCCATCACCAGTACAAACCCAGTCCCTGTACAATACACTCAGCCATCCCGGTGTGAGAAAGTGAAATCACTTGAAGTCTTGCTGCTAGCATCCCTATCAAGTTATGGCCATCAGTGACAGAGTCCCTGTGGGTAGGTTACAGCTTTCAGACAGCACGGTTCTGGCATCTGCAAATAACCTGTGTATCTGATAGGATATCCTCTTGCACTAGCATGGTTTTATTTGGCTTTGTTGACTCTAAATGCACCCGTTAAACTAACCACTCCCCAAACCTGTTGTGTATTGGATCAAGGGGTGGCTAGAGTGGAGCGTGCGTAAAATGAACAGGTAGATCACATCAGGTATCTTCTGGTGGTGGCATGTTTCCAGCTGGCATAATGGCACCATCAAAGATTTAGGGCTTCTTGAAAGTTATTTTGGATTTAACTTGTAATGGCACCATCAAAGATTTAGGGCTTCTTGAAAGTTATTTTGGATTTAACTTGTAATAGCACCATCAAAGATTTAGGGCTTCTTGAAAGTTATTTTGGATTTAACTTGTAATGGCACCATCAAAGATTTAGGGTTTCTTGAAAGTTATTTTGGATTTAACTTGGTGTTTTCTGATAAACTGCCTTGCATCCATACACAAGGTTTTTTGTTTTTTTGTTTTTGACAAATTATCTGGCATCTCATTCTGCATCAACTAATTCGCTTTGGAAGCAGATCAACTCAAAATCAGAATGAGGTATTTTACAATAAGGTAGGTGTGGATGCATCCCCAGACTCCCCTCCCCTGCAGCTAAAGGTTGGGCAATCCGCTCTCGGGTTTCAGCTTAGTGTGATGTTGCTGTCCCACTCCAGCCTTTCAAAGAGTCCTCCAGCAAAAAACAGGGACCTGATAGTAACTAATGTCATGAAAATCTAATCAGAAAAAATAACTCGTTGGAGAAAGTATAAATACATGTGATGACGGCCTTGTGCATCCCAAAGTAGCAGGAATGAACACTACGCATTTTCCCCTCCTCTCATTAGCAGTTTCCCTTTGGGGTTTAATGTTCAGAGGGGCCTGTACCTTGCCTCCTTTGATCAGATTTTCAAGCGTGCTCAGGACCCGGAAGGGAGCTGCTGGGCGCTGAGCATTTCTGATAATCTAGTGTGTCTGTGGGGAGGAACACATTGGTGCACACTCTTCAGCACTAATCCCCCAATGTTATCACTTCCACATGCAGGTGATAGGGTTTCCTGTTGGGCTGATGGGTGTCTGTGTTTGGGAGCATGCAGAACTGCCTGGGCACAAATCAAGGCCATGCTTTGTAAAGGAGGCCCTTTATGTTTTTCATGGAGAGGCTCAGGCCAGTGGCGCTGGAACAGTTTTTGGAGTGGAGGTGCTGAGCTGCACCCCCCCCCCTTTGCCCTGTCCGCACCCCTCACCTTCCCCTAGAGCTGGGGCTGGCAGCCGGGACCCCACATGTGGACCCAGTGGCTGGGATTCTGGGCCCGGCAGCTGGCCAGGATCCCGCATGCGGGGGCCAGCAGCCGAGCACCCGGGGCTGGCAGCTGAGCGGGATCCGGGTCCAACAGCAGAGCCCCCAGGCAGCAGCGGGCCTGGCGGCCAGGACCCTGGGCAGCAGAGGCATGGGGCCAGGGTCAAGTACCCTGGGCAGCGGGGGCATGGGGCCAGTGTCAGGTACCCTGGGCAGCAGGGGCATGGGGCCAGTGTCAGGTACCCTGGGCAGCAGGGGCATGGGGCCAGTGTCAGGTACCCTGGGCAGCGGGGGCATGGGGCCAGTGTCAGGTACCCTGGGCAGCGGGGGCATGGGGCCAGTGTCAGGTACCCTGGGCAGCGGGGGCATGGGGCCAGTGTCAGGTACCCTGGGCAGCGAGGGCATGGGGCCAGCGACCGGGATGCCGGGCACAAAACCTGGGGGTGCTGCAGCACCCCCAGTACCGCTGTTTCCTGTGCCTATGGCTCAGGCTGGATGCGGGAATGGCTGGGCTCGCAAACAGTCCCAGAGCTGCACTAGTCTGCATGCGCTAGGTAGCACCACAAATAAGTCTGAGATGAGTAATGTTCAGTCCACGGCAGCTGCACTTACACAAGGGAGCAGCAGGATTCATGCAGCACAGCTGCCATATGAATGAGTCTTTCAGAAATCGAGGTCTCCATTAACCCTTCAGATGGCTACAAGCCCAGACTGCGGAGGTCTCCTATCTGATCTTGGTTTCACCTCTGTGTAACACCAGTGACCTTATTTGGAGCTACTCCTGTTGACACTTGCTGGACTGAGAAGCAGAATCAGGTCCCCTGATTTAACTGGGATTAACTAGGATTGCTCTGATCCCGATCCGGACATGTCATTCCCTCCTCCTGTCTCCAACCCACCCTACCTCTACACTTGCAAACTGCTGTAGTGCTCTTAATCATGTTGAGCTCAGATCACAGTCCAGGGCGGGGTAAGCTACCGAAGGAGGCTTTCACCCCTCTCTCTAGTCTGAGATATGTCAAAGATGGAGCTAGCCTCCTACCCCTGTCCCTAAGATCTGTCTCAATGTATTAGCTCAATTGAGTTAGCCTAACAGGCTTGAAGAGATGCAAGCCAGTATGTCTGAAAGACTTGTGAGCTGGCCATGCTGTAGCCTACAGGGAAACGAGGCTCCAACATGGCCAACTAATATGGCTAGGAACATGCTACTCCTTTTTTGCCCATTGAGACAGGGCTCTAGCGAGGGAGCCTCAACCAGGACTGCCTTCCTTAAGCAACGCCTGAGGTAATTAGGCGCATGCCCAGCTTCCATGCTGTGAGGCAGCCACAATCTGTTGCTCCGCACAAGGGTTAGGACACATTGCGAAAGATCCCGCAGCACCAAGCACCTGCCACCAATGAAAGTCTGAGCTATCCTTTGCCCAGATCACTTCCCATCTCTCCACCCTGCCTCCGCTGGGCTTCCCCTCTATTCTCCTCATTCCTTGCTCGAGCGAGCCTCTTGTCCTCTAGCCAGCTGGCAGTCCACTCTCTGGACTGGATTCCTTCTGACTGACCGGCCTCTTCTTGCAGCCACACTCCTCCCACAGTCTGGGTGCTGCCCTGAAAGGCAGTGCCTAATTAGGTAGCCACCTCTGTGTCTGATGCCAAGAATTGCACTTGGGTCAGCCAAGTCCATTTCTCGATATGGGACAAACTAGTTGCCCGGAGACATTACCATCTGTTTCTCAGGCTGTGCAGTGCTTAAGGTTTAATGACAGCGTCCAACCCATACATTTTTTTTCCGTGATGTGTTGTCTAAAGCTGCTCTGATTTCTGAAAAGGGCATAGGTTTGACTCTGCCCAGACCCCTCTATACAGTGTAGCCTGACCTCTATGCAGGGATCTGAGCCTTCTGTCGAGAGAGCCACTATCTCTCAATCTCTCTAATCTTTCAGGGAGCACCCACCCATCACTGCAGTCTCTTGGTGCTGGCCCGTGTCTAGAAATCCAAAAGTCACCAGTTGTTTTGCCATATCTGGAAACCTTTGTTTGTCTATTAACTCAAAAAGGAGTTTGCAAAACCTGATTTGCCTGTTGAAGAGAGCAGGCTGTTACTTATCAGATCCCACCGGCTTTCCTACAAGTTCAATCCAAACCACCACTTGTGGGAATTTCACAACAGCAAACAAAGGGGGCAAACAAAAGACACTTACTGACTGTGGCATTCATCCTGTGATCTCCTCCTCCAGCCTGAAAGGATTCTAGTGGCAACCGGAGGCCATCGGCTCTAGCCCTTGGTGCTTGCACAAGCTCTTGCTTTCTTCCCTTTACTTAGCTTCCTGAGGAGGAAAGAGTCAAGTGAGAGGAGTCTCCGAGAACTCTCAGATTGTCTGAGCGTATATTTCTCTTTCCCTTTCTCTCCCCTGCTTTTTTGCCAGCAGTCAGAGTCAGGGGGAAGGTTGCTAAAGAGGCAGTCCAGAAATGACATCAGCGAAAAGGGGTTGAGATAATCAGATTTTGTGCCTCTGAAGGAATTTCCTGCACGCAGAGATTTGAACAGGGTACATCTGCGTGAAGGAGGAACTAAAAGTTTAAAGTGAATTGCCTGGCCACTGAAAGAGTTAGGAAGCAATTAACTGTCCAGCACTTTACAGCCCTGGATGAATCCCTACTACCATATCTGCAGACAAACCTCCTATTTTAGCTCCACTTTGATGGGTACTTCATTTTTAAAACCTTGCTGTCTTTGTGGACGCAAACCCTCTCCCCATTGCCTCTGTACTCACGGGGCATGGTGCTCTGAACACTGGGAGTTTGATGGAGGAAATAAGGTTGGACTTTTCCTAATTGTTTTCTAACTCATCCTGCTGCTTAGGGGCACCCAGCGCATCTTCTCTGCTGCCCTTGCCAGGTTTGTTGTGAGATTATTCAGTGCTGAAAACAAAACAAAGCATCAGATTACGTTGCCATTGTCACCTGAGTCCTGCAGAGTCAACTCCCTGGCCTGGGCTTCGCCTGTACTGATAAGGCCAAGTGAGCCAGCCCAGGTTGGTAAGAGAGCTGTTACCAACTGATGGCTATCAGGTGAGTCTGAGGCTGTGTCTACACTAGGAACATTTTGCTGGTAGAGTTGTACTGATCTATTACACCAGCAAAGCACTCCTAGTGTTGATGCAGCTCATACCAGCAAAACTGCGCTTTCGCTGGTATAACCCCATCTATACTAGTGACCCTTGTTGGCACACCTATGTCGGTCAGAGGCAGGGCCGGCGCTTCCACTAGGCGAACCTAGGCGGTCAGCTAGGGTGGCAGGATTTGGGGGGCGGCATTTTGCCTTCCTCGGCGGAAATTCGGCGGCGGGGGGTCCTTCTGCTCTGGGTCTTCGGTGGAAATTCGGCAGCCGGTCCTTCACTCGCTCCGCATCTTCAGGGCACTTCGAAGTGCCGCCGAAGTGCCCCGAAGATGCGGAGCGGAAGGACCCCCACCGCCGAATGCTCGGAGGAGGAGCACTGCCGCCTAAGGCAGCAAAAACCCTGGCGCTGCTCCTGGTCAGAGGTCACACCGCGACGTGACATAGCTATTCTGGCAGAAGTTTGTAGTGTGGACCTGGCCTCAGCCCATTTCCTGGTGCACTGCTGTCTACCTCACTCTTTCCACCTCTTTCCACTCTGCTGGCAACCTCAGCAGAGAGGCCAAGGGTTGAACAGGTGCAGAGACTGCACTGCTCTTCAGAGCAGGTTTGAGGCATATTGGTAAGTCAAGGTGTAGGGCTGTCTGTGCTGTGCTGTCCCGGCTCTCTGGATCGCAAAGCACCCTGCATTATCTCCTTTTTGCAGATGGGGAAATTGAGGCACAGAGAAGGGAAGTCACACAGCAGGGAATAGAACTCAGCTCTCCGGACTCCAGTACTCCTGTCCACTAGAAATCCTGCCTCCAATAGAGGAGTCAGTCACTAGGGATGTCAGGCTATTTACATTGGCACAAATGGTTAAAAAGGAGAGAATTCAGCCTCCAATTGTGTGATACTCCCAGTAACCTGAACTATAGTCACGTCCAGAGGAAAATATGAGTATCCCATCGGCATGACTTCTGATGTCGGCAAACAGGAGCCGTTATGGTGGAACAGACCAATGATCTATCTAGTTCGGTATCTCCTGGCTAAAGAATGATGCTTCCCAGAGATGCAAGTCCCTTCCCTCTTGGGGCACCTAACTGTATGCCACACTGCTGCATGGGTGGAATCTCTCCCTGAGCCCAGCTACAATCCGAGTGTGCATAAGGACGGACGGTGATTCTGATCTGAACTACAAGTGGCTGCTCCTGGAGAACGCCTTGCTGGGTGAGCTGTACACTAGAGAACTTCTTCAGGGCATGTCTGATCCAATCTGAGAGCAAACACTGAGGTGGCCAACACAGGCTCCACCAAGAGATGGGTGTTTCCTGGAGGAGGGAGTGCCTAAGGTATGTAATACTAAAGGTGTTTGTTCTTTATCATTCTGCATGCTGGGACAAGCCTGTTGCATTTGCCAGGTGTGTCAGACAGGGTACTGGGCTATGGGGAGTCCTGTCTCTGAGCAACTACCTATCCCAACCTCCCACATCCAGGAAGATGAACCTAGGGAAACCACTCTCTCCAGGTCTCCCTTATGCCCTACCTGGCTGGCAATTGATCGCTTATGTCCCTTAAGGACCAGCATTTCCCCACATGGTCTAGCTTTGCTACTGAGGTCTGCCTACGGGCCCTCCCATCTGAATTCATGCAGGGGCCCTGTAACCTGGAGCCACTTCTGTACATGCTGCCTTTTTCTATTTCTGCTGACTCTTGACACTTCCTTGTTGAAACCAGTGTTTGGATTTGGTTTTCTAGCCGTCTTGTGCTATGTGGGCGGGTGTGGGAGCTGTCTCCTGGCTATAGCAGCAGCACAATGAGTCATGCACAGGCCGGGGGAGGGCACCCTATACTCTTTGTTAAATTTGGGGAAAGCACAGGTGTGTGGCAGGAGAAGTTCACTGATTGCAAGTGACTCTTGCAGATACTTTGGGCATTCCCAGACTGGATCAGGCCTGTGGCCCATCTAGTCCAATATTGTGCCTCTGACAGTGGATTGAGCAACCTGCATGGAACCTGGAGGGAAGAGTTACCAGGAAGCCAGTCTGTGTGCACATGGCTGGAATGCTAGCTGTAGTTGCACCACCTCTGTAACTCGTTCTCTTAACGAAGAGCCAGTTTAGTTTTAGAAACCTGGATTGCTCTCATGTTATTACCCAGCATGTAGCCAGCCCCCGGTGCTTCAAAGGAAGAGACAGGCTCCTCGTGAAGGGTTTTCCCGCCTCAAAAAGCACAGTTTTGGGGCCTGTCTGACTGGAAATCCTTCTCTTCATCTTGAGGAATGGAGTCAAGGTTGGGGCAGACAGCACAGCGATAAAACACCGGATCTTGCCTGTTCTACCGCTCCCAGAAGTGGGGAATTACCGGTCCAGTTTTTCCTAGCCTAGCACTGGTCTAACCATGCTGCAAACCAAGCTGAAAGTCTCTTTTACAAGCACTGACTCTACCGAAAAGCACCGTGCTCTGCTTTTTTACACACACAGATCAGTTCCCCATAAAGGGGTACTACTACTTGGCCCAGGCAGTGCAGCAATTTCACAGCCAGCGTGACTGTCGTATGACTCAACAGAAAAAAAGAAACAGACTCAGATAGGTGATTTTTTTTTCCCCCCTCGAACAACAAGAAATCGAAAAGAGTTAAACTAAGCCAAGGAGGACTGAGGAGAGCCCGGGCAACGATAGAGAGGAAGGGTGTTCCAAGGGCTAGGGTGCTAGGCTGGGACTTTGGTTCAATTCCAGGCTGTCCCTCAGACTCTCTGTGTGACCTTGGGGAACTTGCAAAGTTTCTCTGTGCCTCCATTCCACATCTGTGCAATGGGGTGATAGCACCGTCCCACCTCCCAGGCATTACAAAGGTAAATAAAATACATTAAAGATTAGATAGAACAGGGAAACTACTCTGTGTGGGATTCAATCCAGTCCTGCAGAGTCTGGCACCCTCCCAATCAAATGCTCGTATAGCCCTGAGCACTGGGCAACAAGGGTAGGGGGACAGCTTACCTGGAGTTTACCCCTTGTCCATGCAGATCGAAGGCATGTCCTTGCTCCTTGTTACACGGCCATGCTATGCTGTATAGGAACCGGGTAGCAACTCCTTAAATAGTTTGTGAGCTGTCTACTGGAGCGCACTGTATTCTATCGTTTAGAAGCGAACGAAAACCAATCAGAAAGGCAATATGCCTATCACTAGGCCTGGCATGCTTGTGTATGATGATGTGGGGCCTAACTGTGCCCCTGTGGGCTCGTCACATTGTTCTTGTTCTGTAAACAGCAAAGGACACAACGCATGCTTTCAAAACGATGCCAGCCCAGAGCGTGGCATGCGCACGCAGCAGATGATGCAGCATGTTATGGGCCCATGGCACCCAAGGCAGGATTTAGCAGGCACCCTCCTGCACTCTGGAGAACTCTCCTCTGGCAGGTGGTGGTGATCTTCTCTCTCATCTGCTCCCAAAGTTGCCCTGGCCTTAGGTTGTGCCCTAAAGTCCTGATCCCAAACCCATTACTGCCAATGGAAATACTGTGGCCTTTGGATTAGGTCCTAAATCCCTACAGTTGCCTTGCCAGGCCCTAGAATTTCACCACATCCTTTCCCAAAGCTCTGGAGTCTTCCTTTCCCAAGTCTACCTTTTCAGTGCTGACCTTCCTCCTCCTCAGGCCTTGCTCAAAGGATCGCTCTCTGACCATCACCGTTTCACCAGCAAAAACCTGGCAGCTAGATATTCCAGTCCCCAAGGACTGTCCCCAAGCCTGGCCTGGCCAGGCTCTCTTTGACCCTTTCTGTGGCTACTTCTGGCCTCTTTGCAGTTCACATGCTCAGCCATGCTGAGCTGAATGGACATGTTTTGCCTAGGCTGAGTCAGCTGATGGATCCATTTCCATCCCAGGCTCTGAGGTCAATCACTGCAACATGCCTCGTGGCTGGGATTGCCTCAAGCCTAGGACCCAGTAGCAATTCACCCTCCAGTTACTTCTCCTTTCAAATGTTGAGATGTTCACTATGTACTAATCTGAAGTGACTCAGGGAGCGCTGAACAGTTTGTGGCTCCAGCTCTCACTTCTGCTTCTCAACATCCTCCTGCCTGGTCTAACTCCTACCAGTGGTGTCCTACCAGACTCTGCTGCCTTCCCCATCCTTTCTCTGAGTATGCCGCAATGTGACTCATTTGAAGGACCTCTTCAGCTGATTATGACAGTCTTTGTGGGTGTGGTTAAATAACTAAGTCAGTCGCAGGATGGTGGAGAACAACATCTCTAAAACATGACGGGCGTTTCTAGGGAGCTAGTGAGGAAGGCTGGTTCAGTGGTTAGGGTGTAAGGCTACAACTCAGGGAACTTTCTGTTCTGCCACAGACTCCCTGTGTGACCTTGGAGTTACACAGGCCCAGACCAACAAAGATATTTAGGCTCCTAACTTCCATTGCTTTCCATCTGTACATTGGGGATAATAGCACCGCCCTACTTCACAGGGGTGTTGTGAGAATAAACACAGGAAAGCTTGTGAGATGCTGAGATACAGTGCGGGCCACGGAAATCCCAAAGAGAGATTTTTTTCACGAGACACTTAGCACTGTTAGACTGTCCTCTTAGTGTACACACAACGTGCCTCAGGTGGCAAATGGCCGGGATTCATCACTGAATTTGGTCCGCTGGTTGCATCATTAGCTTCCCCAGCTTGGGCTGGGTACTGACGGGAGTGCGAAGTGAATGCTGATCGGTGCCCGCCACCATCAGGTGAGCTCTCACCCAAGGGCTATCTCCATTCTAGTCTGTTCTTAAAATTTTCCACCACTGCCTCTCTGGCAGTGGTAGCAATCACGGTAGCTCTGGTGTACATGGGTAGATGGTGTTTTAACCACCATGGGGTGGGAATGTCTCAAATACTCGTTGGCCTATTTCTGCTTCTATTGAAATCAATGGAAGCGTCACCATTGAGTTCAATGGGACCAAAATTAGCCCAGCACTCAGTGCTTTGGAGAAGTCCCACCACCCCAGACCATCTGACCCTGCTCAGAGCAGGTCCAGGAGACATGATGGTTGAAAATTTGGCAGCTGCCTGAACCCTGTCTACCATACAGTTCCCATCAGTAGAACTATAGTGGTGAACAAAAGGCATAGACAGGAAGGGAATTATTTAGTGTAGTGTGCACAGGTCAATAAGGGATAAGAAAAGTAACTTTTTTTTTTTTTGCTAAGAATCAGGGAAAGTTTCCTGACAGTGATTTGTCCCAAGTGCTTCAACGACCTCTCAATGGAGCTGGTGGAATAAAAGAAACCCTTCCTCATGGAGAACTGCAGGAGAAAAAGGTGTAAAATCGCCATTCATATTTTTCACAACTCATTATTCAATCAGCAGTACTCCTAGGGGAAAAGGTGGAAGCTCCATTGCTTGGAATAGCTAAAGCTTACTGGGGCAAAACACTGAGAAATGAGCTATGGGGAACAATCTTGCATTACTGGGTAAGAAGGACTGGGTAGGACCACATGGGTCTCCTCCTCTGTGTTTCTAGGGCACCCAGAGCCTTAGCAGCATTAACATATATATTTCTGTGAACCTTTCAAAGGAAAAATAGGGATGCCTATGAGAGTGTCTGTCTGTATGTCTGTGTATCTCTCTCTCTCTCTCTCCTTCCCCCCTACTGGAATAGGAGACAAACCTCAATGCTCCAAAAGGTTCTAATTAATGGGTTTAGGGCATCCCATCTCTTGGTTCTTGCTGGATGCTTATCTGGCTAGTGTTTCTTCAGCCACAGTACTGGGTGGGTAAGTATGGTATGGGGCAATCAATCCCACTGTACACTATAGAGCTTGAGAGCTTCAATACAAAGCAACTTTCAACTGCTGCCTCTTGTCATTTGTGGTGGAGTTATGCCTGGTAACTCATGTTTGGGAGGGAAACAAATATCTCTGTATGCTAATCAGGATTCGTAGCTGGCAATGTTAGAAGACATGGTTGCACGGCATTTTATGGTACCGTATTTAGCAATGTGCCTGGACAAAGTGCCACTAGCAGTGGAGTGAGTGCAGGAATGAATTGTGGTTGACAGACACAATGACAAATGAGTTTGATAGCAACACAGTCACTGTATTTGAACAAGATAGGCATACCCTTCCAGTTTGGTTTCACAGGTGTCTGGATCCAGGAGGTTGGTTCAGGCTCATGTCTAATATCCACCATGTCTAATTCTGCTCTTGGATATCCTCCATTTTTAGGATGTGCTGACACAGGGTCTATTTGCTGTGTCAGTTTGTGCTGGCTATTAGTTAAAGGGAGTTGTTTCCACACAAGAGTGAAAATCTCAGAAAAGACACGCTAATAATAACCCTCCCCTCTCTTCTGTTTTCTGCTGACTTACATGCATTTCTCAAGATACATCATGTGTGAGCTGTGGGTGCTAAATGTATTCTCTAAGCCCTATGCTCACCATTAACTAGTCACATGCTCCGGACACCATTGTGAGTGGCAGGCTGACCCCTAACACACACAGATTTTGATACTGGTTGCCTGTTTTTGCAGAGCGCTGCCCATTTTAGAATCCATCTTTCCAGCTGTGCCAACCGCAATGCTGTCTGTTTGTGGAGATTGGCCCAAAGCTTTCTTTACCTGCTCTCACGCTGAAAGTGCGTGCACCGTCCCTACATCTCGGGAAATAACCCAGACACTCAGAGCAAAACTCACTGGAAAGCACCAGTTGAATGGGCACCTTGCAAAGCATAAACACCCCAGGATCACTTCAGACTAGTTCTGCATTTTGCCCAGGTGTTCACCAACCTCGGCAAAACTAGCTGAAGTATCAGGTTTTCATTCGGAACATTCCATCTAGTTCTGCCCCTTACCACAGAACGTGACCTTTAAATAGGGTTACCATATCTAACAAATAAAAAAAGAGGACCCTCCATGGGCCCTGACCCCGCCCATTTCCCCACCCAGCCCCGCCCAACTCCGCCCCTTCCCTGCCCTAACTCCGCCCCCTCCTCCCTCCCACTCCCAGCCACGTGGAAAGGGCTGCCCGAGCGCTACCGGCTTCACAGTTTGCCGGGCAGCCCCCTTGCCTCTGGACCCTGCGCCCCCAGCCGGGCACTTCCCCTACCCAGGCTCCGGCGGCACAGGGTCCGGAGGCAC